ATTGCCAGGGTGAAACCCTCCCTTCTGGCTTTGGGAAGCTTTGCTGTGGAGCTTAAGAGGCCTGTCCACATGGTGATCACTACCCTAAGGCAGATTTTAGGGAATGCTTTCTTTGAAGGCCTCCCCTGTCTAGTCCCACTAGGAAGCTGCTGGTGCTTTTTTGGTGACCGTCCAGTTGGCTAAGTTTGGCTCCTCCACTGTCTTTTCTACGTCATCTTAGGAGGTAGTACATGGGAGGACAGAGCATCTTCCCAGATTGTAGTGTCCCTCCTGCCAACTTCTTCCCACCTGACTTTTTCTCACATGGCATGCTTACGATTCCAGTAGCGTAGTTTTGTGACCTAGCCCCTGGTGGGAAACAAGCAGGAACATTAGGCTCATGTAAAATGCAACTATGAAGAAAAAAAGCAGAGTGAGTAGGAGGCTGTTGAGTGTGCCTGTGATGCATTGGAGAAAACCATCACACTCACTGACCATGCCAGAGGCTCCTTGATTGTTGTAACTTTTTTTTTTTCCTTAGGAGCATTATATTGCAAGTCTGATGCCTCTGCAGAGGGCCATTACTCCATGGAAGGTATGTTCAATTTTCCAATAGCTTCTGCTTTCCTTTGACTGCAGGGATTCTGAGTAGTTATGCCATATGCTGATCACATACTCTGATACTCTGTGTGAACTTCCCTCATTGAAGGAAGAGGGCTATTACTCCTTTAAAAAAGGAAAAAAACCTTTGAAACAAACATTGGGACAGATGCTTCCTGTTTTGCAGCTCAGCTATTGTAATCTAATTTGAATTTTACTAGCAAGGCTGGTTAAGATGTTCATGCGTTTTTTGTTCTCATAGCTATTGAGCCTGCCTTGTGCAGCCTCTTTCATTGTAAACATAGACCTCATTTCCCCCTCGTTTCTTTTGGGTGCCATGCGATAACGGTCTTTTGGTTGTGCAGAATCCTCCACAGGTTCGTCCTTTCCGTCAGGAAGATTTCATGAAGACCCTTGAGCATGCTGGTCCCCAACTTACCTGTGTACTTAAGGGTGACTGGTTAGGCCTCTACAGGTAAGATTTTGGTAATTACTTACCTTGTCCCCTTAACAGCTGGTGCAAGTTACCATGAACATCAAATCCTAAACTAGAATTGGGAGCAAAAAGGGAATTTCACCTGAAAAACTCATGCCTGTGAAGAATTGATTAACTAATAATGGTCAGGAAGAGCAAATGTAGGGAATAATCAATCCTGTGTTTTACGTAATCTCTTAAATTAATAGATATAGTCAGGTTTAGAAGCTGTCAACTCTCCACCTCCAGGAACTTAGTTTAAACTAAGGCCTCACTGCTGGAGAAGGGGACTCATCTCTGACATCAGCTATGTTATTTATTGTCTTCCAGGGAATCTTTCTTTTTGAAGTGTCTGGTCCTGGGCAGATGATGTAGAAAGACTTGAAGGTCTTCATCCAGTAGTGGTTGTATGTGTTTGTATGGCATTCAGGACAACGGCCATTTCAGTTTTACTGCATGATGGCAATGCTGTCAGAACATAGAAGGACAGAGTTTCTTCAGGGTAGAATTTAAGAGAGCACGCAGGAGAATTTGTCCATAGTTTTCATAAAGGTTCATTAGTTATGAATGGGGTGGAGAAGGCACTTATCACAATATGAGTAGGAAAAATCCAGAAATCAGATAGCCAGTGGGAAGGAAAATGGGAGATGTATGGATATGGAGAAGGAAAAAATTCCGGAAGATTATCAGAAACAATAATCATGGATTAGCATGTTATGTTGCTGTGATAAAGCTTGTACTATTGTGTGCTTTAATGTATTCAGCAGAAAGCAAGCAGTTCCACTCCTTAAGGTGTGGTAGACAGATTTAATTTTGGTTATGTAATATTTTGAAAAATAGTAACAAACAACAAGCTGTTTCAATAACTTGGTTGAGATTTGCAGGCAACTGACATACATGCAGAAGTTTACACATTCCAGGATTGTTAGTTATGTGAGATTTTGTGCATATACTACTTCCTGAGTTCCTAAGTCAAACCCTTAAATAAAAAATAAGTCTGTCTGTATCACAGTGGCATCTTGAGATATTGGCTGGGTTTAGGACTCCACTGTGCTGCGGAGACTGCACGAGCAAGAGTCCTTGAAGCTGCAAAAAGAAACTGTATAAACATCAACTGAGTTCTGCTGGTGAAGTGCTCTCTGCACGTAGCCCAAGGAAGAAGCTTGAAGAGATCCTAAGTGGGCCACTCTCAGCAAGGAAAATGCTGAAATACAGCATCAGAGATACCCTGCTGTTAATGAAAGGGTTGCAAAGAATGTGCTGCTGAAGTGGCTGTTACTCAGCTCTACACAGCATCTTAAACCTTCTCATCTTTTTCTGCTGTTGCAACCCTTGGCTTTCAGTTAGTGGCTTTTCAATCCCATTTTGAATGTCAGAATCACAGAACAGTTTGGACTGGAAGGGACCTTTCAAGGCCATCTAGTCCACCCCCTGCAGGGAGCAGGGACATCTTCAACCAGAGCAGGGTGCTCGGAGCCCCGTCCAGCCTGACCTGGGACGTTCCCCGGGATGTGGCATCGACCACCTCTCTGGGCAACCTGGGACAGGGGTTCACCACCCTCACTGGGAAAAATTTCTTCCTTATACCTAGTCTAAATCTGCCCTCTTTTAGTTTAAAACCGTTACCCCTTGTCCTGTCACTACAGACTCTGCTAAAAAGTCTGTCCCCATCTTTCTTCTAAGTCCCCCCTCAGCCCTGGCAGCTGCAGGAAGGTCTCGCGCAGCTGCGGGAAGGTCCCCCCGGAGCTTCTCTGCTCCAGGCTGCGCCCCCCCAGCTCTCCCAGCCTGTCCTCCCAGCAGAGCTGTTCCAGCCCTCGGAGCGTTGCTGGGGCCTCCTCTGGCCCCGCTCCAGCAGGTCCTGTCACCTTATTGTGGCCCACTTTGCCTTTGGAGTTATGATAACTTGGGTGGCTCAACACGAGAAAAAATTCACACTCCTCTGCAGTATCTTGCTTAATTCCTCTCCCTTCCTGATATTTAAATCTTTCAACCATTTGCTAGTATGGACCTAAGTCCCATGTAATTGGCGATTTACATGTCTCCTACATAAACAAGGTATCATCTAGGTTACGTCAAAGGATGTGTAATTTACACCTCTCCAGCACAGTACAGTAATAAACCTGCGTTTTTACGGAGCTACGCAGGAAAATGAACAGGAGGCAGCACAATACCTGTTTTTATCTCAGAGTGTCACAGAATTTTAGATCAAATTGGTGCAGTTGACATGCCTGAGGGATGGGATGCCATCCAGAGGAATAATAAGGTGTAACAGTTTTAAATCAAGACAGGGCAGATTCACACTAGATCTAAGGAAGAAATTTTTTCCAGTGAGGGTGGTGAACCCCTGGCCCAGGTTGCCCAGAGAGGTGGTGGATGCCCCATCCCGGGGAACATCCCAGGTCAGGCTGGACGGGGCTCCGAGCAACCTGCTCAAATTGAAGATGTCCCTGCTCATGGCAGGGGGTTGGAGTAGATGGCCTTAAAGGTCTCTTCCCACCCAAAGCTTCTATGATTCTATGATACAGAAGGGCGAAGAGCACCGCCTCTTGCATTGGCTGAGGCTTGAGCCGTTGCAAAGGAAGGTGTGAGACTGGCAGGATCGCCCCTCTCGTTGGTGACAATCTGCTAAAGCTGCTCAGCTGTATCATGTTAATGCCTGACAGAGGAGAAGCCTCTGGGGTAGACAAGATAGGAAAAGAGCATATTAGCTCATAACCAGTTACCATCCCTAATGACTCTGTGCGATGGAATGTCTTTTCCTCTCACATCTGTGTCTGCTGCAGTAGGAAGGGGAACCTGTGTGCAGTAGAGCCAGTGTGCTTCTCTGATCCCCCTCTGTCCCCTTTTCCGTGTCACCTCTCTTCCTGCAGGCGTTTCTTCAAGTCTCCCAACTTTGATGGCTGGTACCGTCAGAGGCACAAGGAAATGACCCAGAAGCTGGAGGCCCTTCATCTGGAGGCAATCTGTGAAGCGGTATGTTCCAGCTGCAGGTATTAAAACCAAACCAGACTTCTCAGGCCTGAAACCCGAGAGATGAGGGCACCGCTACCTTGGACACTTACTGATGCACTTCGATTCTGCACTGATGCATGGGGGACGTGGGGGACAGTGTTTTGTGCCCTTGGGAATCACAGTTCTGCCTCCTGTCTGGCAGTGCACAGGTATAACAGCACATGCTGGGGACAAGAACACGAGCAGCTCAGCTCCCCCACTTTGTCAGCCAATGCAGATCCTGCTCTGGCTGCTTCTATCAACTATTTTTCATTTATCAGGCCCTTCCCAAGCCAACAGAGTGCCTGACTGGACGTGTCATCTCTTGCTGGCTTCTTTAATGCCTAATGAAAATAGGTAGGATTTTTAGTAGTGACTGCTGGTATAATTTCTTAAACTGAGCAGCTGCTGGGGTAGGCCCAGGAGCTCTGGTGTCCTACCCAGGTGCATCTTCAGCTGCAGCACTTGCTTCACTGTTCAGCAGTGCAGGTCCTGGAGCATGGTGTGGGAATGTCAAAGCCGTCTCCTTTTTTAACAGGCCTGAGTCTGGCAAGTAGATGTAAATTCTGAGCACAGCACGCGATTCACGGTGCTGACTGGAGGAGGGGAACCTGCACTGTCTGCGTTTTACTGCATCTTTCCCTGACTCTTCTCTTGCAGGCAAGACTTGATGCTGTCACGGGCAGAAAAGTGGGGAGAGCTCTATCTTGCTCATTTAGGCTTAAGTGCTGTGAGCAGAGTTGTGAAAGAGGATGAGAAACCTCCTCCTCGCTTTTATTTCAGGCTTTGCTTAGGGGGTATCTCTTTGAGAAAAGCCTCTGTAAAGAAGAAATGTCCCTGAAGAAAGCTGTTCTCTCTCTTTAGAACATTGTGGCCTGGATGAAGGACAAGTCTGAGGTGGAGATTGTAGACCTGGTGCTAAAACTTCGTGAGAAGCTGGTATGTTTTCCTCCCTTCTTCCTGCACTCATTCCTTTCTGTCTGCATCTGTGGCAAGGAGAGACCAGGGACATGGATCACACTTGTTGCTTAGAAAACTTTGTTCTTGCTCCCCGATTTGGAGAACTGGCAAATGGGACAGTCACAAAACTTTAGTGTTTGCATAGAAAAGGGTTCAAAGTTCCGACTCCTTTCATCTCCCTGAGGCTCCGGTGACAGCTGCCGGTCCGTTGTCTCGTACCCTGAACTAAAGAGACAACGTGAAGTTTGCTCAGCCAAAGGCAAAGCAGAAAGAAGAACTTTGAAGGTATTTTAAAATTCCTCTCTCTCCCTGTAGGTAAGAGCCAGGTGCCAGCACCTCCCTGTGAAGGAGGAAACTCTGCAGCGGGTGGGCCTGTACATCGAGACCATCATTGGCTCCTTGCCGGAGGATCTCCAGGCTGTGCTGCACCACCACTGAGCACGGTGGAGGGACTCTGTTGGAGAAGGAAGGGCCCTCCCAGACCGCTCCGAGCTGTGGGCACCTGCAGTTACGTTTGGAAAGGAAAGTTCTTCCCTGATCCAGCCAGCATGAGCTGATCTGGACCTTGCTCACAACTGTGTGTGACTTCGAGCACGTGAGCGTGTGGGTCAGAACTGTAGCAGAAACGGGGAACTGTGTGCACCGTTCTGTCTAGTCCTGCTTTGAAGGAACTGGATTAGGGGACTGTAAGTGAGAAACTGTTCCCTGTGTGGCTGTTAGTAAGTCAGAAAGTGACAGCCAGGCTTCCAGCAGCATGTGATAGGCTGTGCAAACCATGTGTTGCCCGTATATACACATCCATCTTTGTCTAGCGCTTGGGCTCTCAAAATCTCAATGCCGTCAGCCTGCCTGGAAGAAGCAGGAGCAGCTTTGTAGGGGGGAGTTGTTTTCAGGACAGCTCCTGATGGTAATGGGAGAGATGGCAGTCCCCCACATACACATGATGTGAAAAAATTGTCACTGCCCATTCAGCAGTCTGACTCATGCCGGTAGGAGCTTTAGCTGTGATGGGAGTGGGAGGATGAATTGCTGGTCGTGGAATACTTTTGTTTTTTCTCCAAGGCAGAGACACAGAAGAAGGGGCTGGTGCATCCGCAAGGATGCAACAGAGCAACAGCTCTCCAGAGATCACGGCTGGGTGCTGTGTGAATGGCAACAGCTGCTGGAGCTCCACAGAGAGGAGCTGGCCTCCAAATGTAATTTATTCTCTTGAAAAATCAAGTTTGCGTGCTCTAGTAATGTACAAGAGAGCTGGATCTCTGCCTTGGACAATGAGATATTTAATGTGGTCAGCCCACTTGCCGATAAGACGTGTTGGAGAATCTGATTTTTACAGCCTATGTCAGCCTTGCCAAGTGGGAACTCGCGGAGCGGCTCTCGCGTGGGTGCACGGGCCTCGCTGTGAGAGGTGCGTGCTCGCCCTGTGCCAAGGTCAGAGGGGAGCAACCTCTCCAGCTCTCGGCACAACTTGTTCTTACCACCACCCAGCTTCCAGCTTGGTCATTCTGCTTCTGTTCACCTCTTGGGAAAGAGAGAGGGGTGTGTGTGCTTCTGGGCTGAGCGTAGGAAAGACTCGAGGCTCTGCTGCTGGCTTTGGAGGCAGCTGCCCGCTGCCTGAGAGCGCAGTCTTTCTGCCAGCTGCCTTGGAAATGGATTTACTGTCACCCCAGGGCTGACGGCTGCTGCTGTAACTGCATTTCCCCGTCTGCCACTCTGGCCAGGGCCTGAACATTTGCCTTAAGAGTGGGTTGTAGGAGGGGGCTGGCAGCCTGATGCACTCTTGTTCTGTAAGAAGCCGGGGAGTGTACCTTTGCACGTGGCAGGAGAGTTCAGCACTTCGGCCGAGACCTGCACAAAGCTGTCGGCAGTGCCCAGTGCTCCGGGGTGGAAGCTGGACCTGTTTCACTCTCAGGCTCTGCCCGTTGCTGCGCTGCCTTGGGGCTGGGGAGACATCAGTGAGTCGCAGAGGTGGCTGAACCCTTGCTGCATTTTCCCCTCCGGAGCCAGGCACGGACAGTTCAGGAACAGCGGGAGGCTGCTCCCTTTCCCACTGCCTCCAGCCTGGAAGTGGCCAAGCGAGGAGATGCGGCCATACCTCCCCGTAGTAACAAATTCTGTACAATACTCCCTAGTGGCAGCCCTGCCTGTACAGTGTATATTCTGTATATAGAGCTCGTATGTGTGTCCGTGCAATAGCTCTGCAGTGACTGTGGTGGACCAAAGCACTCATGTATAGTAGAAAATACTAGTTTAAAAAAAAAAAAAATTAAGCCAAACTGTGTCCTGTTTTTGTGTCTTAGTAGATGTATCTGGTTAGGAAAGGGGCTTCTCTGCAGGGGTGCTGTTGAGCATGGTCGCTCACGGCCCTCAGCGTGGTGGTTTCTCAGTCTCCATTAGACATCTGTGCA